GAGCCCCCGGGCTGCCTGGATTCCGTTTCACGGCCTCCCGCTTGGCGCCCCACCCGCCCTCCGCCCTCGCCCCCCGCCCCTGTCCTGGCTGGCCTGGGTGGCATCTCCTCATCATCACGCGCCAGGCGGGAGGGAAGTGGACGGGGCCCTGAGCCGACCTAGCCCTAAACGGAATGGGGCGCCCAACACGTGCCCGGATTACTGTGCCTTCCCCGGGTGCAGCCTTTCGGTTCGTGAAGGGTCGGTGCGTGTCGTGACCCCCTGGAACACCCGTACCCCCGCACCATCTCCGTCGCTTGGTTCCATAACCTCTGCCGCCACCGGGAGGCGGCCAGGGCTTCATAGACTCGGTCGAGAGACCCCAGATTGGCATCCATGCCTCTCTGGACAGGGTGGCCCGCCACAACGACCCCTGGAATTGCGACTCGCCGCTTTCCTCCCGCTGTGATCCTGTGTGAGCTCTGTGTCTTGATTTGCCAACAACATACCTAAAACAGCGTGGCCGCTGTTGCGCACCCCGTTTTCTTCCTTTGGAGCGAGTGCACGGGGGTGAGCCTCTCGCTGGCTCGATTCCCTCTCGAAATCTACAACCTCCATGACACAGTGCGCGGCTGCGACAGAACCATCGGGTTCTGCCACCAACACGAAGTCTCCGGAGAGCAGCTGTGCCTGCCTCCGCCCTCGTCCCCCTCCTCCCGTGAGTCGCCCTGCCCCAGTCATCCAGAGTACGACCTCTGGCGAGTCAGCCGCCCCACCGAGGGCACCATGAAGAGCACGAAGAAGAAGGCGTCCAACGCGAAGAAGCAGGGCAAGCGCGCAGCGGCTGCAGAGGCGGCGGCGCGGAAGGCTGCGGCGGCGGCGGCCGCTGCAGAGGCGGCCGCTCAGGCGGCTGCTCAGGCCGCTCAGGCGGCCGCTCTCGGACGTTACAGGTTGGTCAATGCTTGGTACTTTCCTCGCGGCGACTGGTACACCCTCTACTGGGACGGCAGCACGGCCGACAAGGTCGCAAGGCGCGCTACCTACCCGACGCTCGAGCACGACGACCACGACCCCGGCCCCCTCGCAGAGCGCATCAGGCGCGACAAGCGCGAGCGGTCCGACCGCTCCTCCGACGACTCCTCCTCCGACCGCGACTCATGCGGCACCGGCTCCACTAGCGAGGCGAATGACATATTCGACACCCTCGAAGACCATCTCGGCTACGGTTCCGACTCCGGCTCCGGCTGGTAGTCGACAAGCTGCCGAGCGCAAATCACTCTGTGTGACACATTTCTTGTGTTGTCGTGGTTGGCGCTGGTATGCGAGAGCGATGCGCGCCCGCTGTTGTGTCCCGTAAGGGTTTTGCCGGTTAAATCAGACCGTTTTCTTCCTTTGGAGCGAACACGCCGTCTGAGCCTAGCGCAGCGCGAACTCGCTCCTGTTCATAGCGCGCAACCCTAGCCTACCTCCATTTTTTTCCCATCGCCCAGGCGCGTGCAGCAGCCAGAGAGCAGCCAGCACCCCGCCGTGCACCTCTCCACCTCGCAACACAAACTCGGCACGCGCGAACGCCTCTAGGTGCTCCGGCGGCTGCAGCGCGGGCGGTGCGATGAAGTTCCAGCCTGGTGCGGCACGCCCCGCAGCGCGCTGCCTCGCTCTGTGCCTCGCCTCTGGGCACTTGGGGTGGTGTGGTTTTGCTCTGTGCACTGCGGCCGCGCCGCGCCGTTGCCCGCCTGAAGACGCAGCCGTGGGAGTCGCGCGCCTCGCGCTCCTCGCGTCGCGCCCGCTCGCCTCGCCGAGCTGCAGACGCCCGCCCGCCAGCTCGCCTGACGCCGCCGCGTCCCCTCTCCCCCTCCCCAGACGTCAGCTCATCGCGGCGCAAGTCGCGCAAGGCGCACTTCAATGCGTCGTCGTCGCAGCGGCGGATCATTATGAGCTCAGCGCTGTCGAACGAGCTTCGGAAGAAGCACTCTGTGCGCCGCGGCCCTGCGCAGCGCCGGGGCCGGTGGGGCTGGTTGGGGGCGCTGGCAGGAGGGGGCGCGGCGAGCCGCGGCCCGCCGTGCCGACCCGGGGCTGCATCCGACGCGCGCAGGTGCGTTCGATGCCCGTGCGGAAGGATGACGAGGTTTCCGTCGTGCGGGGCACGTACAAGGGGCGCGAGGGCAAGGTGATCCAGTGCTACCGCAAGAAGTGGGTCATCCACATCGACCGCATCACGCGCGAGAAGCAGTCGGGGGCGACGGTGCAGGTGGGCATCCATCCGTCCAAGTGCGTCATCACGAAGCTGAAGCTCGACAAGGACCGCCGCGCCATCTCTGAGCGCAAGGCCCCGTCCAAGGCCAAGAAGGGCAAGTACACGGAGCAGGCGCGCTCCGCCTCTTGCCTCCCTCGCTTCCTGCTCC